ACCATTCTTGTATTGTTGGTAGTGTCTGGGTTTTCCAATCTGTAGAATTTTCAAATGAAATAAAATGCTACCTCTGGGCTCTATCCTAACTGGACCCAGAAAATTATTTTGGCATCTTGAAATTAAATTAATTGGTTCTGGTTTCGAAAGGACTCCAGGGCAACTGGTTGATTTGTTAGTCTTGGTACAGAAGACTCAGATTACCACATACCCTCAAGTCTCATTCATATTTGCTGCTATCATGGATCAGATCTTACCTTCTACTTCATTGCACATGATAAACCCAAGCTTGAATGGAAGTGATGGAATCCTCAAAAAGAAAGAGGTGAGAGATTTAAAAAAAGCAAAAGAGAATAAATGAAATGATGTATGACTGTAGTGGAAAGAAGGATGGTTGGTAAGCATAGAAGGGGACGATTTGGTGTAAAGTAGATTTACTTGTATTTCATAAGCATCCCAGATCATTAGAATAACGCTCCTATTTCCTTCTGCTTTAGTCAACATGCTCATGTATGCCCTAAGAAATCTAGTTCAAACCAAACTGAACTGATTTTGAAGCTGAGTAGCCAGTTGCTGTTTAAAATGCCAATCGTTTAACGAGGAGGCATCCAAATGCCTTTGCCAAGGATTTTATTCTCAAGGACTTCCCATTTGCAAAAAAAAATTACTGATCTAGGTTTAGATATTACAACTGTGCCTCTGTTACCATTCGAATACTTTTTCTATTTCTTAACCTAAATATTTCCGATTTCATCAGTACTGGCTATAAGCTTTTATGATAAATGCTCCTTTTATGTAATCTGACTTTGAGTCTAAATGTCATGAAGAGCAGATTTAATCTGGCACTTTTTCACAGTCCTGTTTTAATTTATTTTTCATTACCCAGGGAAACCATTTGAGGTCACAACCATTATGACAACTGCAGTTTCCAATATCATTGTTTCCATTCTATTTGGCAAACGGTATGACTATGAAGATGCCACATTTCTACGGCTACTGAAGTTAATCAATGAAAATATGCAACTTTCAGGAGCCTTGGATATATTGGTAATCTCATTTTTCATTTGAAGAAAAAAATCATGACATATAGGCAGCACAGTGTGTGTCATTAGCCCCTCTTTTCACTGCCATCAATAGCTCAGTCTGTATACTTAAAGAAGGCTTAACTTCATTACTTTCCCAACATATAAAAAGGAGATAGGTGGGAGCCTGCTAGTTATCAGCCAATTAGTTTTCTTTTAGTAATTGGCAAACGATAGGATATGTCAGATTTTTATATTATAACCTTTTTGATTGGCTGTGCTCCAATACCATGGTGCCTGAATACTACGGTCTGATGAAAGAGTGCATAATTTTGTAGCTTTCAGCAGAGAAATGTTATAATCTGCCAAATGGATTTGTCCGTGTTGACTTCATAGATCTAAAGGTGGCCTTTGACTCTATACCCCAAGATAAACTCTGAAGAAAGTGAGTAGCATCTATGTTTGATCTCCATTTCCTCAAAGTGATCATACAATACATTGAGCAGGTTAAGATCTTATGCAGCTTTAAGGTCCAAACAGACAGGTATCTTGTTCATAGCATGCTTGATATAACAGTTATTGAAAAGAAGAAAGTCTGGTTCATTGGTGTTACTATACTGGGTGATGCTAGGATTGAGGAAAAAACAATTGGAAAAAATTATGAAATATTGGGACTTGCAGATCGAAGTTGAACATCTATGGAAAAAGAAATCCGTTGTTATACCAATCATGATTGGAGCCCTTGGAGCAATACCTAAAGGACTTCCTCAATATCTGTAAATATTGAATATATCGGTCCTGAACACCCTAATTTTGCAAAAAGGACCCTGCTTAGAACTGCCTATATTCTTAGGCGCTACCTAAATAATTCTTAGGTCCTTGGTTAGGACTTGAATTATTAAGTTTCCACCAGTCTTGGATTGTGAATCTAACTGTAGATTGCCCACTCATCATCATCATCATCATCATCATCATCATCATCATCATCATCATCATCCATTATTGCAAAGCATGTTACTTGTCGTAGGCATCTGCAGCAAGATTTTATCCAAATGATGACATGAACATGATGATATCAGGATTCAAATTCCCCCCTTACTTAGTTACATGCAAACATCTCATGCAAGTACGCAAACCATTTTTTAGCTTCGTCATGCATGCTTTAACTTCATCATGCATGCTTCAAAACTTCCTCTCCCTTCTCCCTACAGGCTTGTGAATGCACTCAAATTAGAGAGGTGAGAGCCTTCATTGAAAATACTTTTTCCATTTTTTTTTTCTCTTTATACTGCACAACTCTAAACATACTAAATAGCTCTCTTGACTAGAACTTACATTTCTTATATTGATCATTCCCATTGCTTGTTTGGGAATCAACAGGATGTGAGCAGGAGGAGGTAATTCAATAGTATATTGGAAAATGAGCGCTCCCCTTCCCAATAATTGTGTGGATTTTAGTCCATAGTATTTGGGCCTTAGTGAATTAGAAATATTGACTATCCACAGCTCCCTCAATCATGTGTTTTTGCTTACTATTGTTGTTGAATTTTTGTAGACATATGGACCACGTGTATTTTTTGGATGTCTACCTGACAAATGTATTCAAAATATTTAACTTTCTTAATATATTTTTCTTCTACTGTTCTTTCAGATATATAACTTATTTCCCAGATTGGCGTCCCTTTTCGGTTCTCATAAGAGAAGACTGAAGAATAGAAAAGAACTCCATGATTTCCTACAAGCCATGTTTATAGAACGTCTCAAAGATCTTGATGAAAATGACCCAAGAAGTTTTATCGATTCATTTCTTATTCGGCAAAGAGAGGTAATGGATTATTTTATGCATGGCTGGAATGACTGATGATTTTTTTACATGTTTTAAAAAGATGCCTCCATATAAACTACATACAGGTTGGTTAAGACCCTTGCTTTAGGAATGTAGAAGAGAATAATTTTTTAGCAGTTTCATTCCCTCTTCATTACTTTGTTTCAGAACCTGCAGCACTAAAGCTACAGCCAAACTGTTTTTCCCGCATTAAAAATATCATCAATATACTGTAGAGCCTGTTTTGAGGGGTGGCTCCACGGAAGTTGCCATTTGGGGATCCTTAGGGTCAACCTTTCAGTGCACTATGTGAATATTTTCTGCCTTTAAATATATGACTTTTCTAGAGCTTCAACTTTTTTTCATTCCAGCAAAATGCCTGAAATGCAATGTCTCTCAATTCCTTTTGGCACTACAACTTCAATACCACTTTGTCATTTTTGTAAAAGGTAGACAATCTCCCCAGATCTGGAGGGCAATATATTGTCCATTCAAAGTGGCTTCTCAGCCTTCTGCAATTTACATCACATCAATACACTGAGCTTCATTGCTAGTCCTTTTTCTTGATATACTTCAGGAGAAGAAGACGACGACTGAGGGATATTTCCACTATGAAAACCTTAAAGCTGTTGTGGACGACTTATTTGTTGCTGGTACAGAAACGACTGCAACCACACTGCGCTGGGCCATACTCCTAATGATGAAGTACCCAGAAATTCAGAGTACGTTTCATTTTATTGCCTTATAAAAGTAACTGAAAGAAAGAAGGATTTGGCAGCTGATAATATTATTTGAATGAGGGGAAGATAGGAAGCAGGAACAAGTTGCCCTTCTCTCTCCCTCTCCCTCTCTCTGTTGACATTTTTAAAGAAAGTGTAAGTGAACAAAAAGAATGGATAAAAAAAATTACAGGTGACTAAACAGGAAATTTACTAGCATCACAGGACATAAAGTTTTTCCATATTTCATTCATTAATTGCAAATCACTGTGTATTTTTAAAGAAACTGATAATATATATTAAATTCTAAAAACAATAGAAATATCAGGAACAGTAATCGTTATTGTATAAAAGATAAAAATTTAGGAAATCTTATAGATCTAAAATGTTAAGATTTTATGTAAAGGGAAACCCAAATTTGGATCTGGTAAATACCCAGATATAAAATTGTAATCTAGAAATGGTTTCCAAACTGAGTTAAATACATTGTGAGATTTACCTTTAAGATACAAAACTATTTTGGGCATCAACACAGGTTCCTACAACTTAAATAGTGATGTTTCTAGAAAGGGGATCAAGCGTCTTTTCCAATAAGAAACATAAAATATTTTGTAGCACTTAACATATACAGAACTAATTCAGAAATCTTTATGGGAATGTATGGCTTAGTAACATTTAATAAAAATATCACAGTTTGAAAAAGAAATTCAACTTTTAAAATATGTTTTATTCTGATATAAACCAGTTAACAGAACTGTTGTGCTTTAGAGCATTGATACCAAATATGGAAGAATGATCTGTTTGATCATTACATTTTGAACAATTTGCAGCAAATGTTCATGTTAGCTATCAAAATTGGAGTATGATGAAACTCCTGTAATAAAACATCATATACCAGGTTCCTCTGAGTATCATATTTGGTGTAAATTTTATGTTCTTTTTCTACTGAAATTTCCATTGTTGCATATCTAAATTCTGCATCCATTTAATCATACAGTCTTTAACTTGTTTGGTTTCTTTTTTTTTTCAAATAATTTTATTAAGAATTATAAATGAAAACAATAAAAACCAATACAAACTACAAAAAATACAAACAAAACACACACACACACACACATACAAACATACACAAAAAGGGGGGGAGAGTGTAGAAAAGTAAAAAAGAGGGAAAAAGAAAAAATGAAAATGAAAAAGTAGCTTCCTCCTTCATCCCAGCAAGTAAAGACAATTTTAATAGCTTATCACCATCTCTAAATAAAACAAGCATAACTCTCTTCTCCCCATAATTCATCTCTTAAGTAATGAACGACAACAAAAACAAAAACAAAATCCAAATGTTACATCATTCTTTGTCTGCAAAAGTCCAGTAAGGGCAGTCAGATATAATTAATTTCCTCTTTTAGCCCTGATCAAACAAGCCAACCTCATAAACCTTCCCTGAATTTTTAAAATTATTCTTCAACTCCTTCAAAAAAAGTCCTAGAGGTCATTTCCTGATCATCTGAGCATTCAGACAAAAATCCTTCAGAACTTTAACAGATTTCTTTCACACTTACAGTAGATAAAGTTTATCCTTTTGTTTGTCACTTCTGAAAAAGTCTTCCATGCCTTGGCAAAGCTCTTTTGTATATCCAGAAGAAAAAAGATATCCAAGTGCCCACAGCGGTCCATGAAGTTCCTCACCTATGTGAGGAAATAGGGCAGTTGCTCGGGATCCCCCGAGAATTGGCTCTTGAGGTTCCTGAACCTGAGTGCCTCTGTCACCCGTTGGTCATCTGCTGCAGCTCCCGTGGGTCTAGCCATCGCTGCTAGCCTGGGCATGAACTCTGTGCTGCCTCCCACTCCTCCGCTGACTCCTGGGACCTCCCCAGCTGGAGCTCCGGTCCGCAAAGCAGTGCCTGCAGCATCCCCAGCATGGCTGCCAACTGCCGTTGGAAATTGCCTTTCATCTGGGATATCTGGTCCTCCAGCTCCCGGTTCCAGGATCCTGAGCCTCAACACTTCATGCGTCCGCATCCCGACGGGCCCCCAGGTCCCAATTCTACACTGACGGACCACCTTGTGTCCCGAGGTGTGGGTGTGGGGCCCTCTCTCCTCCTTTCCTCTCAGACCATCTCTTCCACCACCAGGGTCTTGGGTCTGGATTACTCGCCACCTCGTGAACTCGCCTCCTCGCTGTTGCTTGCCATCGCTGTGTGAGGTTGACCAGGTCCGGTAGGTTGTCGGCAAATGAAAGAACATGAGCGCTCCTCGGTAGGGTTACTCTGGGTAGAGCTCAAGGCGAATCCTGGCTTTATGTAAGGATCGCTGCACTCAGCGCTGAGCAAAAACCCTGTGAGACACAGGCTCGGACAAAAGTTAGTTTACTCAGGTGCAATGCGTAACGGTTACAAAGCCAGGATTGGCTTGGCATGGTTTCTTTTAGTCTTCTTATAGGGTCCCCCCCTTGACCCGCAGTACCCCTTGGTTCCACCCCTTGCCCTTGCCCAGGGCAGCCCATCTGTTCGTGGCCATCTTCCTTCCCCTCGCCTTGATGGCAGATTCAGCCAGTTTCTATTGTGTTTTGATCGGCTTCTTTTCCCTCTCCTGCCCTTGCATTCCTGGGGCTTTTCTTGTGGTGGTTGTTTTAATCTGGGTTTGAATTGCCCGCTGATTGCTGTGCTTCCGGTGTATCATAAGCCGGAGTTGCCTGGGGCGCCTGGGGCGCCGGCTGCACTACAGTGTTGCCGCTTCTTAATTGCCCGCCCTCTGCCAGTAGTTAACTTGTGGTTGCATCGTTTACTTGCCCTGATTACCTTTCTCCTGAGGTGGTGAAATTGATGAACGGCACTGCGCTGCTGCGCTAGGCTGAATCTGACACTTGTAATGTCCAACCTTCAAGGTCTCCTTATCATAAAGAAACAAAAGCAATCACCATTTTCCCATGAGAAGATACCTTCTAATAAATTCAAAAATATAACTCCAAACTTCTGTGGCCCCTTAATCCATTATTAACTTTCCAAAATCCATATACTAAGCACCCTCTTGCTGCATAGTAAAAAAAAAAAAAAAGTCATATATCTTCAAAACTCTTAAGATCATATTTCCACCATCATCTTTTAAGGAGGTGGAGACTCACCCGATGAATACAGTAAACCTAGTGGGCCCAAAGGGTCTTAATCTCTCCAAAACACAACACATTAAAAATTAATCCAGAAAAGTGATTAAGACATAAGGCTCGGTCGAGCTTAATGTCCATAAGGCTGCTTTGCAAGTGTGAGCTTGATGTAACCCCAGCTCCCAGCCACGCCACTCATAAGCTCACCCTGAAATGACAGTTTCCATAGTCTACTCACGAGCAGCCACTGTCCAGAGTCACCTGGATGATCTCAATGACCTCTCCTTTGATCTGGAGAGATTACACCAGCCCGGATCCAGCATCCAGCCGCAATTTCTCTCAGAAAAGCTGTCTTACTAGCCAGCAAGGCAGTAAGACATCAGCTTGCCAAAGCACTCACAGGGAGTGTCTTTTAACTTGTTTGGTTTTTAAGTCATACTTCAGCAACAATTTGTAGATCAGGCCCAACAGATACTCCAAGTCTTATGTTGTAAGAATTTCAAATTCAGTGAAATCCCAAAGTATTTTCCCTTTATTCTCCTGTTCTTTTAATAATACATTACTCATTTGAAGATCTAAAAATCAGTCAGGTGGGAATGAGCCCTACATTTGCCTACATCAGGAAATGTAATCTACAAGAAAATGAGAAATATATTGTATTGAAAAAGACTATAGTAACAGGATATTGCAAGTGTGACTGCATTTTCCCTTCCTCCTTTACCCCAGGAAGTATACCTCAAGAGCCAGTCTGAATCTCTTCCTAATACCTTCCCTTTAACCCAGGCTCAAAGGATATTTTGGTACATGTTGTTAACAGTTTCTCAATATTTTCTCAAGGTATTTTCCAAACATCCTTATAGCAGGGAAGATTATTACATAAATTGCCTTTCCTGTTTATATTTTAAGGAACTTGTCGAATGTGAAGCTGAAGAGATAGTGTTGTAAGATGTTTCCATATTAAAGGTTCACACACTTAGACCCTTCAGCCATTTCTGAAAATTATGCCTCCATCACCCCCATTACTATTTCTTAGAGGAATAGCAGATTACACCCTAATCTGGAGAATTTTTTGTTTACAATAATGTATTCTAACTACGATCAGACCTTGACTCATCTCTATGTGCTCCACTCAACATTTCATTCTTTCTAGGGCTTGAAAATGTAAACTGATAGCCAATTCCTAGTCCATCTCTCCTGTGGATGAAAGCATTCATTAAAGAAAGGGAAAAGAAAGGAAAGAAAAAATGCAAACACAGATCACAGATTAGTATCACTAGATCTCTACTACAAATGTACTTGGATTCATAGCCTTCTCTTCTAATGTTGCAGAAGAAATATTTCTAAATGCACTTAAGCAGGTTAAAATACACAAAACCCTTACCATATTTAGAAATTGCCACTAACAGTAACATTTTTGCAGCTTTTTATTTTTTCTTTCATATAGGAATTTGTTGTGCCCTTCTAATGTATCGTCAAGTTCCTTTATGTTTTAATACCAGTTCTCCAAAAATGCTCACAATTCTGGACATTTCAATACATAATACTGATTTCTTCTCCCAGGAAAGGTCCAAGAAGAAATTGCAGAGGTGATTGGAGATCTCCAGCCAAGGACAGAACACCGAGCAAGAATGCCTTACACCGATGCAGTAATTCATGAAGTTCAACGGTTTGGTGATATTATTCCAATCAATTTGCCACATGCAACCAGCATGGACATCACTTTCAAAGGCTTCTTCATTCCCAAGGTGATCAGTCTGAAATCACTTCATTATACAAGATCAGTCTTTTTTGTACAGTATCAGGTAGAATTTTTTAGTTCAGTAAAATGTAGTTTTAAGAGCTATTGAGCACTGGCCCACCTGATAATCAAACTGTTTTACTGTTTTTCCCTTAAAGTTTTTTTGAACATGTGCATTTCTCCATGCCTAGTCTTTACCTGTCATTATTTTAAAAAAATCATACATTTTCAATACCATCAGTAATTTCTATAGCAATGTGTTAAATAGATATACTCTTTTTAATACAGTTTTTCCCTTCCACTTTTTAGGGCACACACATTGTTCCATTGCTGTCATCAGTGCTCCAAGATGAATCTCAGTGGGAGAAACCTCATGAATTCTACCCTGAGCATTTTCTTGATTCGGAAGGAAAATTTGTGAAAAAAGATGCATTCCTGCCTTTCTCTGCAGGTAAGGGTCTCCGTACATGTGTCCAGGTGTCCCGAAATAGGCAACCCTTAAACATTCCTTGGAGAGAAACCTTCACAAGAGATCGTGGAACATTTGAAACAACAACAATAAAACTTCAGTTGAATGTTCTTCATTTAATGGAGTTTGATATAACGTTTGTCCCTCTGCCAGGGATATTAAGGCTTTCAGGGGGAAAGGAAGAGTTAGCCTGAGTCCTGAGCAGAAGGAAGACTTGATTGCCAAAGTAGATTGTGGGGTACCTGGGAAGAATATGGTGTGCGAAAACAATCCACATCTGATATTGGCAAAGCGAGAGAGAAACTGAAGATCTGTATCTTCCCATACAATGCTGATCTTATCACCAGAAATTAAGGCAGGAAAGCATAGGAAAAAGGTACAAGAATCACGATGGAAGAAGAAGGGACAAAACGGTATGTGCAGTAGTGTTAGCTGGTGTTAAGGAGTGCGGCATGGAACTGAGATCAGCTACCCAAATGGTAGCCAACTCACGAATGTAAGTTTCATTGAAGGATGCTTTTGGCAATTTAATAAATGCTAAGGTATTGTTAACAAATAAAGCCTTTGTGAAGAGTTGAGTGTATCAATGGAAGTGATAAAGCCATATAGAAGAAAGTTAAATGAACTTATTTAGGAAGTTTGCATGATACTGCCACAGAATTATAATGCCAGTGAGACAAATCAATCTTCCAGCTCATGGACAGAGGATCATTCTGGCCACCAATATTTTATGGAATCGTGGAGTCCTTGGTGCTCTCTGAACTTGGTGGTTTGCTTAGAGACATTTCATTATTGACTAGATAATCTCATCAGTGCTAGTGAGTGTGGGGTTTGCTCCCTGTTTATATGCAAGAGCTTCTTCTGCTAATGTTGGTGGGGGTAATGGTTTTCTCCTTGGTAGTTCCTTGATTAGGGTATTGTTTTCCACTTGATTGTTGGTCTGGTGTAAATCCCTGCTTTTCTGGGTGTTGGCTGCTGGAAACGATGTGTTCTGGTCTTTTTGTTTCCCTCTTAGCTTTTTATGTGTCTCTTTTGGATGGTGTGTAAATGTGATTTATCTCTATGTGTCTAGTGATGGCTGCTTTGTCTGAATGCCAAGCTTCCATGAATTCTCTAGCATTTTTGGATTTAGTCTGGTGCAGGATGCTCATAGTTTCCCTGTTGAAACTAGGGTTGTGTCTGTCCATGTGTTGTGAGATTAAGGAGTTTTCATTGGGTCTTCTGACTGCTAGATGGTATTCATGGATGTACTCTGCTAGTCTTCTGCCTGTCTATCCTACATAGTGGTTGTTACCATCCTTACAATGTATGTTGTAGATGACTCCTGTTTTTTCTTCTTGAGTGGTTGGGTGTTTTGGTTTACTTCAGATGTTTTGGAGGACTTTAAGTTAGTTTGTCTGCTATGATGATGCCATGTGGTTGTAATAGTCTGTTGGTTTTTTCTGAGATGTTTTTGATATATGGTAGTGTTATCCTTTTCATAGCTTGTGTTGGTTGTGCTGTAGTGGATTGAGTAGTCAGGCACTTTTTGATAACCTTGACCTCAACCCTGAGCTACCTGTATTCCTGTAGTTGTAGTTACCATCTCTACCTAGAGTGGGATGCTCAATCAGCTTTATTTTTAGGGCATCAGTGTAGAAGGGTATTTATGAAGGTTCATCTTTCTTTTAAGATTAAGATTATTCTGATACAATCCATTTCTATTTTATTGTTGCATTTTAGCTTGTTTCCATAGGAATGTTCTGATATAACTTTTCTTTTTACTGATCTCTCCATGGCCATATGACATTGGGAAGCTATGTAAAATAGTTTTAAAAACCAATAAACCCAGCTTTTTTCCATGTATGCTTTCTTCCAGGTCGGAGAGTATGCGCTGGTGAGAACCTTGCCAAAATGGAGCTCTTCCTCTTCTTTACAAGCCTCCTGCAGAGATTTACCTTCCAGCCACCCCCAGGAACATCTAAAGATGACCTGGACCTAACCCCTGCATTTGCGTTTACAACCCCTCCTATGCCTTACAAGACCTGTGCCATACCATGTTCATAAGAGACAAGACATTGATAACAGCCCTTTTCTCAGCCTTGGACAATGCAAGTCTGTATGGTCTTGGCTTAATAGGTTGTTTGAAACTGAACTGTAATGATTTGCATACACATAAAATCTAGATTCTGAAAAAGTAGGGAAATCATGACATGCTAAGTACTTTGTACTCTTATTACTGATTTTTTTTCTTTTGGAGCCATTTCTTTCCTTTTATCTTTTACTATTTTTTCTGCCCTAAAATTTTCTATTTCTTTTGCTTTTACTTATTTTAATTCATTTTTTAAGCAATATAGATGTTTTTACAATAGTTAAACATACTTATATATTTGTTTGTTTCAACAAGTTATTGATTGGGTTGTAGCAACAGTAACAGTAATAGTAATAGAAAAAGTCCAGTGTCTAGACTGCTTAGCTGGTTTCCAAGTGTGTTGTCTCTTCATTAAACATATTTTGGCATAGTCCTTAGGTTAAATTGGCCATGCTTTCTCCTAAAGCATAAGGGATCCATATCTTCAAATGAGAGAAAGACTAAAATAAATAATTTTAGTCTGTGCAGAAGACTTGTGCAGAAAAATTATTAAACAAATTGATTTCTTGTACCAATAAGAGCACACAATGACACAGAATGAAGATGAAATTATGGTCTCATTTGATGATGTCACAGCACTCTTCATGTCCATAAACACAGAACTAGAGAAAGAATCCATATCAGCGGTATTACACCACACACCCGACTTAACCAAACACACTGAGATCAAAATACACAGAATCATGGACCTCATCAATGTCTGCCTCACCACCTATTTTCAATTTGATGGACAAATATACCAACAAATCAGAGGCACACATCAATGTCTGCCTCACCACCTATTTTCAATTTGATGGACAAATATACCAACAAATCAGAGGCACACCCTTGGGATCACCACTGTCAGGACTCATAGCAGAGATTGTAATGTAACGCTTAGAAGCTATAGCACTGCCACACATACAGCCTAAAATATGGATCCGGTATGTAGATGACAC